ACCACAAATGACAGAAGCAGAAACAGAGCACATTTTATTTAGAGTTACGGATGTCAAGGACAAAAAAGAATCAGTTGAAAGTATTGAAAGGCTGGACTCTTACGTGTCTGTGTAGAACTGATAATGATGCACATTTAAGCCGAAGCAGCCAGGTTTACACCCTGTTTTCCACCATGCCTTTGTCACAGGAGGAGCAAGCCAACCAGACCTTGGCTCGCTACAGAAAGACGGTGCACGAGCTGGATGACGCTGAGGAGCGGGCCGGCATGGCAGAGACCGCCCTGAACAAGCTGCGCACCAGACACCGCGTGGCTGGCAAAGGCATCACCTCTGTGGAGATCATCCAGGTGTCCAAGACAGGCTCCACCAAAACCCTTTCTGAGGAGTGAGGTTCTCCACGTTCCAGCCCACAGCCAGTAGTAGGTATGGACTCCACTCTCCATGCCCATGCTCCATGTTTCCCTTCCCTGCTCCTGCTTTGCTCCTTCTGACTTCAATGCTTCCTGTGTGCCGTGCCCTGATCTCATGCAGTGGGAATTCCAAAGCTCCCCGGTCCCTTCAGCAGCAACACTCCCTCTCTGCATTCCCGAAGCCCTCGGGCATGGTGCTGTCCACCTGTAACACAGATGCTAGGGGTCATGATGCTCCCCCATCTGGGTGGAAGCTTTCTGAAGGCAGGTTCCAAGCCTGATGCCACTTGACATTAGGCCTGACAGACAGGTGCTAATGCTTGTTCTCACTGGAGAACCACGGGACATTTGCAAGCTTACAGCCGGTGTGTATTCATCTTTCACATCCCCACATCCCCATTCCTGAGGATTTCATCAATACTGGTTGAATTTAGACTTCTTACATTAATAATAATTATTTGCAGCTAACTTTTCTGAGCACTGTCCCATAGGGGACAATATAAAATAGTCCTTTCCTATTTTCTTTAATTCAGAATCAACTGAGAAAAAAAATAGAGGAAACAAATATATAAAAGTCAAAATGCTAGTTTTGTTATAATTCTAGATTAAGAATTTAGTGGGTATCAAACCTGGTCATCCTTGTATTTCACCCCACAATTTAAGGGACCTGCAGAACTGAACCACCACAGCCCTGCATCATAAGGAGCAACCCCTACTCCAAGGGGAGGGATGACCAGAACTCATCAAACCTACAGGCAGATCCAAAAGGAGAGACCAGATGGGGTTCATCCCTTCCTTACTGGTTCCTGCTTCCAAACACAGGATAAACCACTCTTCTTCCCGTGAGTGGAGCAAGGGAAAGATCAGGAGAGAGGTGAAGAACATTATTCCAGAGCAGTGGTTACCCCAAAATGCGGTCTTTTTGACCAGCAGCAATATCAGCATCACTTGGGAAATTGTTAGAAATGCAAATTCTTATGTTTCACTCCAGACCTACTGAATCAGAGGTGGGTCCAGCATCTGTGGTTTGACCAGCCCTATGGTGACCAGATGTACGATCAGGTGTGTTAGAACCAACGCTGTAGCAGAAATCTCCCCTTACAGAAAGGCAGAGCCAGGGAACAGAGGTTCCTCCTACTTTTACCAGAACTAGGCACATGGTAATGTCTTTCACTATCTTCTTTATCCTATGGTAAGGAGATATATAAATATCTCCATTTGTCCGGTGAGGAAAATGAGCTCAGAGAAGTTCAGTGACTTGCTCATGGTCATACAAACCTTGTGCTATGGAAAGGCAAACTGTCTTTTATTTTAATTACTGCAGAGATGAATAAGGCTGCCCTCTGTTTAGGATTAAGCAGGACAACTCAAGATCAAGGACTTGGTTTAGGTTGGGAGGGGATGGGGCTGAAGTCTCAGTGTACCGATGGTCCAACCTCCATGGATTATGGGAATTTTCTTCTGGCCTTGTGTTCAAACATCCTGATGGATCAGCCCCCCCAGTGAGGGTAAGGTTCCCCACTCACAGCTCTCTTTCAGTACTGGGTCAGTTTGGGTTTTAGTCCAAAGTGATAACCCCACTGACCTTTGAATTCAAGCTGAGCCTTTTCTTACCATTTGCTTAGGGAGGAAACAAAAGATAGGAGATAATCTTTTTCTTTATTCTCTAATTCTTAAATAATGGTTAGCTCAAGAAGTTAAGGAAACCAGAGGCTTGCCTTTGGATGAATACTACAATTAATATATAACCATCTCCTCTTGGAGCAAAAACCTGCAAGGGGTCTCTTCTGTTGAACTCTCATCTTGGCAGGGGTTAGTCAGCAGGTTCCCTGCACCACCCAGACTCGGGAGGTATTTCAGTCCTTCCACCTACTAAATCTCAGCCTCCAGGATTAGCCATCTTGTGAAATAGATCCTCTGCCCTGGCTTGGTGACTGTTTATTCCTGGGGTGCTGTTCTTGGTCCAACAGCTCTGTCTCCACACCACAAGGCCACCGTCCTGCCAACAGCACCAGAGGTGATGAAGCTCTTTTATCCCATTTCCCCTTGCTGGTCACAAGGCTAGGTATGCCATGAGTAGCCATGAGATGTCTTAAGCATCTGATCCAAGACCCCACAAGAGTTTAGTTTTCCAAAGTGGCTTTATATTCAGCCCCACAAATATTGACCAAGCTCCGAATATGGACTAGGCCTGGACTCTGAGATGCAGAGATGAATAATGAGTAAGAAAGAACATCTTCCCTAGTGGAGCTCAGAAACTGGTGAAGAGATAGCAGCACATGTCACCACAAGGCTGTGAGTGAACATTCTGTGATGCTATGTTTGCATCTCACCTGGGAGGATCACAGGGGAGAAGTGACTGGTTTAAACTGAGGTGGCTGGGTAGAGCAGTCCACGGAGGAAAAAGTCTAAGAAAAGTCTAAGGCAGTGCCACTCAATGAGCAGCCCGTTTGTTACCTGCCTGAGACAACAAAAGTACAGAAACTGAGAGGAAGTTTATAGACATTTTTACAGCAGTTCATACTGTCATGACATCCAAATGCATGATTAAAGTATTTTATAAAAGTATTTGTTTCTGATATTAAGTAAAATTTTTAATGGAAATTAAAAAGAGTAAGTAAAATTGATCCCTCACCAGATAGAGAAGAAAGGAATTCCAGATAGAAGACCCAACATATGCCAAAGCGCAGAGGTCAGATGCATACAAGGGAACAGTGTGACTAGGGGAGAAGAGCTCAGAAGAGGGGAGAGTGCTGGATGTGGAAGGAGACGAAGCTAGCAGGACAGGCATGCGGGAGGCTGTGAAGGGCCCCACTGGGTACAAGTATTCCATAATTTCCCTAAGGAAATCTTGCTAAATTTTTAAATCCATGTGTGGGATGTGATGAGCAGTAGCTTTTCTTTCTTGGGAAGACATAGCACAATGGCAAAACAAGGCTGTGGGTCCCTCATGAGACACCACAGGCAGGCTCGTGGTGAGCACTGTATCCCAGGGGACTGCACTCCAACTCTCTCAATGGCCTGTATGGTGTCCAGGCCCAGTTAGGCACCCCAGGCCCAAAGGTGTCTCTAACCTTCACAACCTCACAGAAAATGAACCAGCTATGACCCAATAATGGTGTCCATTATGAGGAAAGAAGCCTGCGCAGCTGCAACCCAGGCATCTCGGGGACACTGTCTCTCTAGCAAGAAGGAGGCAAAGATGTCAGAACTCCCAGCTCTGGGCCACAAGGATTTTCTCACCCTCTCTCTTTTTTTTCTTCCAGGGTGACACAGATCTCAACAGCAGACCACTGAGAGGAAAAACATATGAAAATAGAAAACGAGATATCCTGAGAATGTTTACTATGCAAAAGAAAGTGCAAGCCAGAAAGAGACAGGTGCTACAGAATAAAGATAGCTGTGGGGGTAAAGGGTTTGAGGATGTAAATACCCAGCCATTAGAGGAACTAAAATTAGTGTGGCTTCTCTGAGACTGCATCGAGCTGTGTAAGCACTTGGATAACAGTAACAGTGGGTCTGTTTTAGTTGAGATCCTACATGTTCATGTCAAAGACGGAATATGTAATGTCTGTGTGCCTCGGCTGTTTTCTAGAAGTAATTCCTCGTGTGGACAATTTTAATGCCCTGTCCCAATGCAGCTTAAATAAAAGAAACATGAAAAATAGCCTGGAGATTGTAAGTGAAGAAATTTTATTTTTCTACGGCTTCCAAATCCAAAGGCAATTTTTACAATATGTCAGAATTCTGTTTTATCCCTATATCCTCATTCACAGGCTTCTTTCTTTTTTTTTTTTCAAAGATTTTATTTATTTATTTGACAGAGAGAGACAGAGCGAGAGAGGGAACACAAGCAGGGGGAGTGGGAGAGGGAGAAGCAGGCTTCCCCGCAGAGCAGGGAGCCCGATGTGGGGCTGATCCCAGGACCTGGGATCATGACCTGAGCCAAAGGCAGTCGCTTAACCGACTGAGCCACCCAGGCGCCCCAGGCTTATTTCTATTGGAAACCATGAGAACTACGCCGTCTTGGTGAGGTTCACTGCAAATTTTGAAAGGGTAGACCAGAGATATGAAGACTAACCAGGTTTCGTAAAGCTGAGAAATCTACAGAATCCCTGAATGGATGTTATAGGATCTATCCAGGCTAAAGACCCACAAGGCCCCCACATGCTCCACCTCGGCATCTCCCAGGATGTTCAGACACGGGCAAGTTCTCCTTAAATCAAGATTTAAGTTCTTCCTTAAGTCAAGTTGAGACCTGCCCCCTGATGGCATCTACTTTTTAACCATTTTGATACCCTGCAGAACGACCTCAATGGCAGACTGTGCTCATGTCCCTCCAAGATTTCTCTTCTCCAAGGCTGAATATTCCTGGGTCCTTCAACCTTCCCAAGTGTGAAAGGGTTTCCGCTGTCACCTTTAACATCCTGGACCTTGTTCCTCCCCTCACTGTCCTAGTCTTTAAAGTGCAGGACTGGAGGAGACAGCACCATGAGGGCTCCCTGCCAGTGCACAGCCCTCAAACAGCACCTCCGCCCCCACCCCACTCCCTGGAAATGGTGTCTTCCCTTTGACTTTAAGCACTCTCACCTCTTTTGAATGCGCTGGCAGGCAGAAATCATTGTTCAGCTGGTAAAGGAAGGGATATTAACATTCCGGTGGTGACTCCCTCTTTCTCTCTTCACACTGGCCCATTTTACCCCTGTGATAGTTCTACACCAGGCACACTCTAGACAGTTCCAGAGGGAACCACTTGATTCCTCCTGTACAAATGGATCAAATGTGAAGACACTGCCCTCTGGCGGTGGGGTCTCCAACTGATTTGTGTGAATCACACAACTGTAGAATTACATATATTGCAATTTTAGGGCTCAAAGGGATATTCAGAGGGTGTATAGTCCATCTCTCAATCAACTGGAGATTCCCCTTAATAACATCCCTGAAAAAATGGTAATCCAACTTGGACCTGAATCCTTCCAGTGAGAAAAGCCCATTACAGTTTTGACTGACAATCATGGTTCAAAATAACATTGAGCCAGAATATGTCTCCCTGCATTTTGCCCTCATTTTGATCTACTCTTCACCTCTGTAATTACATAAAATAAGTCTAATTCTTATACTTTGAAGTCAGACAAATATGGGTTCCACTTTCTCAGCAGTGAGACCATGGGCAACTTAACCTATCTCACCTCCTGTTTTCTCAACTGTTAAATGAGGAATAATAACAGTATCTGCTTCTGAGGAATGTGAAGTTTAAATAAGATAACCTGGCACAGAGCCTATTATTCACAACACTCAGACACTTGCCAAGTTTCTTCTAGCATTCTGTAGGACTTAACACTTGATCTCCCAAAGGAGGCTTGGCCTGGCCTGTCAGCCTGGCAGCTGACAGCAACAAGCCTCTTACTGGAGAAATGCAAGGGGAATTCCATGAAGTTTTAAGACCTCACCATCATTTCCTGGTGGATAGTCTACCTGTGGATCTCCCCACATGTGAAGAATTTCAGAGCAGCCCCTCACTTCGCTGGAAGGGTTGGGGGGAGAAGATATAGACGGGCTTAGTGACTTGCCCAAGACCAGTTAACAGCAGAGCTAAAAATTCATCATTGGGAGGAATGAGGAAAGGTTTCTGATCCAGTATTTATAAGAATTTGGATTTCATTTAGCCACATATGCTGTTTTTGCCTAAGGACGTGTAATTTCAGAATGGCCTGAAGGTCTAAAAGGATATACTCTGTGGCCTCGCGGAATAATAGCATTAATTAGTATCTATGAAGACCAAAATCAGGGCACTGGCACCAGGTTCTGCAGAATAAATGGAGCAAAGACTATTTAAATGGTTTTGCTAAACGTTCTGGGCTAGCTTTCAAGGCTGCTAAATTTTGTATCACTGATTATATTAACTGTATTTTCTTTTTTTTTCTGTATTCTTGATCCTCTGCCACCTGGGGCCTCCCTGACTGAAGAGACACTGCCTCTCCCATTACAGATAGCAAATGGCTTTCATACAGACTAACCAATCCAGAGCCCATACTCCAAATCACCTCCTCTCTTTTGTTCTTATATTCTAGGAGGCATTATTCCTCTGCCCTAATCATCCCAGGACCACATATGAGACAACTAAGGACAGCTCCTATGATCCAGAATCTACTGAAATTATTCAAACTAGCCAATCCTAAGCCTGCTCACCTTGCCTCACCCATTCCCTCCCACAGAAACCACAATAAAGACGTGTGCATGCTTTCTGCCTCCTGGTCTACACCAGCACTTCCCACATGGCCCTGGGTGGCATGACATGCCATGCCTCCTATTTCTAGGGATGGGTCTGTGAGTGTAAAAACTTCCCTCATGGGGCGCCTGGGTGGCTCAGTTGGTTAAGCGACTGCCTTCGGTTCAGGTCATGATCTTGGAGTCCCGGGATCGAGTCCCGCACTGGGCTCCCTGCTCAGCAGGGAGCCTGCTTCTCCCTCTGACCCTATCCCCTCTCATGCTGTTTCTCTCTCTCTCTCTCTCAAATAAATAAATAAATAAAATCTTAAAAAATATATTAAAACTTCCCTCATGACAATCATTTCATATCTGTATGTCTTACTACATCTGATTTAAACAGATCCCGGGTATATTAAAAAATACCAATTATCTTCCTCCTCCTTTCACATGTGAACCAATCCTGGAGTCCTGTTGGGAAGCCAGGAAGTCTGGATTATCCCAAGGAGCATACCTTTGGGGCTTCCAGAAATCACAAAATCATCACAAAGACCCCTTGATCCTTCCACCTATAAGCTACCAGGAAGTGGGGCTGGAGATCTGTTGTGAAAAGGCCAACCTATTACAGTAAAATCACAAGACTGGAAGGAAACCTGCTGGCTATTATAAGGGACTATTCTTCCCTCTACTTCCTGAACCCTGGCTTAGACTAACAAAAAACGTATCTTGCATCCCAAAAAACAAAAGCCCAGGGCCAGATGGCTTCCCAGGGGAATTCTACCAAACATCTAAAGAAGAATTAATACCTATTCTTCTGAAACTGTTCCAAAAAATAGAAATGGAAGGAAAACTTCCAAACTCATTTTATGAGGCCAGCATTACCTTGATCCCAAAACCAGAAAAAGACCCCATCAAAAAGGAGAATTACAGACCAATATCCCTGATGAACATGGATGCAAAAATTCTCACCAAAATACTAGCCAATAGGATCCAACAGTACATTAAAAGGATTATTCACCACGACCAAGTGGGATTTATCCCTGGGCTGCAAGGTTGGTTCGACATCCGCAAATCAATCAACGTGATACAATACATTAACAAAAGAAAGAACAAGAATCATATGATCCTCTCAATAGATGCAGAAAAAGCATTTGACAAAGTACAGCATCCTTTCTTGATCAAAACTCTTCAGAGTATAGGCATAGAGGGTACATACCTCAATATCATAAAAGCCATCTATGAAAAACCTACAGCGAATACCATTCTCAATGGGGAAAAACTGAGAGCTTTCCCCCTAAGGTCAGGAACACGGCAGGGTTGTCCACTATCACTGCTATTCAACATAGTATTAGAAGTCCTAGCCACAGCAATCAGACAACAAAAAGAAATAAAAGGCATCCAAATCAGCAAAAAAGAAGTCAAACTCTCACTCTTTGCAGATGCTATGATACTTTATGTGGAAAACCCCAGAGCCTCCACTCCAAAACTGCTAGAACTCATACAGGAATTCAGTAAAGTGGCAGGATATAAAATCAATGCACAGAAGTCAGTGGCATTCCTATACACCAACAAGACAGAAGAAAGAGAAATTAAGGAGTCGATCCCATTTACAATTGCACCCAAAACCATAAGATACCTAGGCATAAATCTAACCAAAGAGGCAAAGGATCTGTACTCAGAAAACTATAAAATACTCATGAAAGAAATTGAGGAAGACACAAAGAAATGGAAAAACGTTCCATGCTCATGGATTGGAAGAACAAATATTGTGAAGATGTCAATGCTACCTAGAGCAATCTACACATTCAATGCAATCCCCATCAAAACACCATCTTTTTTCAAAGAAATGGAACAAATAATCCTAAAATTTGTATGGAACCAGAAAAGACCCCGAATAGCCAGAGGAATGTTGAAAAAGAAAAGCAAAGCTGGCAGCATCACAATTCCGGACTTCCAGCTCTATTACAAAGCTGTCATCATCAAGACAGCATGGTACTGGCACAAAAACAGACACATAGATCAATGGAACAGAATAGAGAGCCCAGAAAGGACCCTCAACTCTATGGTCAACTAATCTTTGACAAAGCAGGAAAGAATGTCAATGGAAAAAAGACAGTCTCTTCAACAAATGGTGTTGGGAAAATTGGATAGCCACATGCAGAAGAATGAAACTGGACCATTTCCTTACACCACACACAAAAATAGACTCCAAATGGTTGAAAGACCTCAATGTGAGACAGGAGTCCATCAAAATCCTAAAGGAGAACACAGGCAGCAACCTCTTCGACCTCAGCCGCAGCAACTTCTTCCTAGAAACATCGCCAAAGGCAAGGGAAGCAAGGGCAAAAATGAACTATTGGGACTTCATTAAGATAAAAAGCTTTTGCAAAGCAAAGGAAACAGTCAACAAAACCAAAAGACACCCGACAGACTGGGAGAAGATATTTGCAAATGACATATCAGATAAAGGGCTAGTATCCAAAATCTATAAAGAACTTAGCAAACTCAACACCCAAAGAACAAAGAATCCAATCAAGAAATGGGCAGAAGACGTGAACAGACATTTTTCCAAAGAAGACATCCAAATGGCCAACAGACACATGAAAAAGAGCTCAACATCACTCGGCATCAGGGAAATCCAAATCAAAACCTCAATGAGATACCACCTCACACCAGTCAGAATGGCTAAAATTAACAAGTCAGGAAATGACAGATGTTGGCGGGGATGCGGAGAAAGGGGAACCCTCCTACACTGTTGGTGGGAATGCAAGCTGGTGCAGCCACTCTGGAAAACAGTATGGAGGTTCCTCAAAAAGTTGAAAATAGAGCTACCATATGATCCAGCAATTGCACTACTGGGTATTTACCCCAAAGATACAAAAGTAGGGATCCGAAAGGGTACGTGAACCCTGATGTTTATAGCAGCAATGTCCGCAATAGCCAAACTGTGGAAAGAGCCAAGATGTCCATCAACAGATGAATGGATAAAGAAGATGTGGTATATATATACAATGGAATATTATGCAGCCATCAAAAGGAATGAGATCTTGCCATTTGCAATGACGTGGATGGAACTGGAAGGTGTTATGCTGAGTGAAATAAGTCAGTCAGGAAAGACATGTATCATATGACCTCACTGATATGAGGAATTCTTAATCTCAGGAAACAAACTGAGGGTTGCTGGAGTGGGGGGTGGGGTGGGAGGGATGGGGTGACTGGGTGATAGACATTGGGGAGGGTATGTGCTCTGGTAAGCGCTGTGAATTGTGCAAGACTGTTGAATCTCAGATCTGTACCTCTGAAACAAATAATGCAATATATGTCAAGAAAAAAAAGAAGAGGAAGAAGAAGATAGCAGGAGGGGAAGAATGAAGGGGGGGAATTCGGAGGGGTAGACGAACCATGAGAGATGATGGACTCTGAAAAATAAACTGAGGGTTCTAGAGGGGAGGCGGGTGGGAGGATGGGTTAGCCTGGTGATGGGTATTAAAGAGGGCATGTTCTGCATGGAGCACTGGGTGTTATGCACAAACAATGAATCATGGAACACTACATCTAAAACTAATGATGTAATGTATGGGGATTAACATAACAATAAAAAAAAGAAGAGGGCGCCTGGGTGGCTCAGTTGGTTAAGCGACTGCCTTCGGCTCAGGTCATGATCCTGGAGTCCCGGGATCGAGTCCCATATCGGGCTCCTTGCTCAGCAGGGGGTCTGCTTCTCCCTCTGACCCTCCCCCCTCTCATGTGCTCTCTCTCTCTCATTCTCTCTCTCAAATAAATAAAATCTTTAAAAAAAAAAAGAAGAAGAAAAAAAAGTATCTTGCAGCTTTGGAGCACTGATTCCATAAAACTTTTCTCTATGCACATTAAAAAAAACACACAAACACACACATGACTTTTAAATATAGGCAGCAAAACAGTAACCAGGCATTTAGACCAAGGGGAAAAGTGTATTATGAGCATTAGGTTTAGCAATTAGGAAGACTACTGTGGGAATAGGTACAGGAGAGGCCCTCAGCCCAGTCTTGGAAGATAAAGGAAGGCATCCTGGAGGAAATCATGTCTTCGCTGAAGCCGAAGTATGAGTAGGAGTGGCTCTCCCTCAAAGGGGAGGGAGAGCATGTGGGAATGGAAAGTGGGAGTGGGGAGGACCAGCTGGAGCGCGCTTGGTCCAGGTAGCAGCACGTGAGCTACAGTGGCGCAAGCAATTGACATTCGGTGACCTTACACGCCAACCCCTGCAGGCACAGACAGTTTTGGAATTAGTGCAGTGTGAGCAACCAGGTCTCCACCTTTCCACACTACTCTTCTCTTGGGTCTATCAAGACAGCTGCCACAGCTCTAACCATCCTATCTTCCCACAACCATGTTTAAGACAGGGCAAAAATAAAGACTTCCTCACCATCCTTTTTCTCAGGGAGCATATTTATTCCCAGAAGCTCCCTAAGAGACTTCTTGAGTCCTGATTGGCAGAAATGGGTCACAAACCCTTCCCTAAGCCAATTAGCAGCAAGTGGCAATGTGGTTGCCATGTAAGGCAAGGAACATCTGTGGCTCATTCCCAGGGAACCACCTGAACAAAAGTAGTGGAGCCAAGAGGGTAAAGGTGATGACGTGTGGAGAGCCAGAGTGTCTGGTCACACAGAGGACATGGTGAGAGATGAAGGTGACAGAACATAGGAGACCTTGATGACTTGTTATGGAGTATGGACTTTATTCGGAGGGCAAGAGAGGTTTGTCATAATTCAATTCACATTATGCATTTTGGGCAGGGAATACAATATAAGCAAAGTTGTGTCCCACCCACTGCATCACACCAGAAGACACGTGACGTCAATTTGTGCCACTGTTTGTGATGTTGAGTTTGACACTTGATGAAGGTGGTGTCCACCCCAACTAAAGAACATTCTATAAAATAACTGGTGTGGACTCTTTAAGATTGTCAATGTTGTGAAAGGCAGGAAGGAAGGAAGGAAGGAAGGAAGGAAGGAAGGAAGGAAGGAAGGAAGGAAGGAAGGAAGGAAGGAAAAGAAAAGAAAAGAAAAAAGGAAAGAAAAGAAAGAGAGGAAGAAAGAGAAAGAAAGAAAAGGAAAAAAATGGCTAAGGAGCTATCATATTAGACTACAGAAACATGACAATTAAATGCAGCAAATGATCTTGGATTGGCCCTGGGATCAAGAAAAAGAAATTGAGGGGTGCCTGGCTGGCTCAGTGAGTAGTGTGTGTGACTCTTGATCTCAGGGTTGTGGGTTCGAGCCCCATGTTGGGTGTGTAGAGATTACTTGAAAAAAATTTTAAAATCTTGGGGTGCCTGGGTGGCTCAGTCGTTAAGTGTCTGCCTTCGGCTCGGGTCATGATCCCAGAGTCCTGGGATCGAGCCCCACATTGGGCTCCCTGCTCAGAGGGAAGCCTGCTTCTCCCTCTCCCACTTCCCCTGCTTGTGTTCCCTCTCTCACTGTGTCTCTCTCTGTCAAATAAATAAATAAAATCTTTAAAAAAATTTTTGTTTCATCTTTAAAGAAAAAAAATTGCTAGGAACCAAACAAGAACAGTTATGCTCATAAGCAAACCAGTCATTTCATTCAGTGCTCTGACAAAAATATTCATCAGACTTGCAATTTTCTACCACTTTAAATTTGTTCCTGGAGAAGCACTCTTTGTGTTGGTTAGCTTCCCTCCAGGTGTAGAATTACTCAACTTTTCGCCAACAGTTTCATTTGGGACTGTGACAACAGAAGAAGCCCACAACGTATCTGAGATATAAGCACAGAAAAGCAAAAGTACACTATATAATACAAATTAGAACTACAGTCGTCCCAGGTTAACCCATTTCTGAAAACAAGTCTAAGATCAAAGGAGCCTATATTAGATTATTTTAAATGAGAAATAAGAATGCATGCACTGCCTGCCCAAAAATTCTAACCAGTTTCTCTAAATATCACTAAAAACCCTCTTAAACACCAATAAAACAATTCTCCAAACATTTCCACATAATATAAACGTTTTATATGCTTACATGTATCACTACCTAAT